TATGAACTCCATTCATGTTTATACTTTCAGGTAGGAAGGGGTAGTCATTATGACTATCGTGAAGTTCTGATGGATACTCTAAATCACATTCAATCATACACCCCACTTCACTATCATCTTCCCAATGTAAAATGTCTTCCACTTCTTTCGGGTCTCCCCATTTAAAGTCACCTTTAGGTAAGGGTTCCATATAAATTATTAGATCTAAATACGTTAAGTATGTGGTAGGTTGTGTGGTGTCGTGATGACTCATGTATTTATGGTTCGCCTTACCATGTCGATGACTTATTTGAGGCACACCCCATCGAGTTACCTTTTCATACATGTATAACATATCTATAGCATGCAATAATTCCAGTTTAACTTTACTAATTTTTAAAGCTGCATCATACGCTAATCCTGGTGATGTATAATAATGTAAAGGGTCAAGTCCGTAATGTTGTAAACAAATGTCTCTAAAATCTTCAAAAATGTCCTCTAATTGTGTCACATCCCCTTTCAAGTATAAATTGTGATAGTCTTGCATGGTTTTACAGTTAAATGTCTAAAACACATGTTGTGCATGTGCATAGTTGACATCACTAATGTGTTCACCATCAAGTCTGTTGTAAAACTGATCAGCAAATGGCAGTTGAGTTTCTTCCATTTTTGCAGGACTGTCCATGTAATCGTAAGGATACACCCCGTTTCTTATCATCAATTCATAGTGATCAACAAACGATGCTTTTACTACCTTAAATTTATCTTTTGTTAGAATGTCCTCAATGCTCTTCAACTTTATACTTGTTTGGCTTTCTAACTATTTTGATCTGAGCGTCACTGATGAGTCTTATGTAGACGAAACGCGCGTCTGGCGTTAAATTATAAGCCTGGTACCTTTTATAACTATTTAGCTAACACTTCTTGTTAATTTGACATGAATCAATGAATCGCATTTTTAAATGAGTACCCTTTACTTGTTTAGAAAAACTAATGTACTTCTCATCTGTATTGGGAATGCAGTCAATTTTATCATCGGTAAACCCCAACTCTTTTACAAACAAATGAGCATCATACCCCGTTTAATTGTGAAACACAATAGGAACAAAGGTGGGAAGTTGAAAATCTAAATTACACTTCTTATGTGCTGCACCGCGATACTTACCTGTTAAGTGATCATGATCTCGTACTTTGTCAATCCCTAATTCATGGTCTTAAATGTGACAACGTGTACTAGCTTTAAAAGATGCATCATCTTCTTTTGTCATCAGCATGTCTTTTTCGTCTTGGTACATGTCTGCAATGTCTTTGACTTCTTCTTCCATACATTCCACAAACTTTTTAGCCACCTTTTCCCCATAGTACAGTAGTCCTTCTTTAGTTTCCTTATGTGTACACTTAACGCGGTAATAAAAACCAGAAGGTGTGTGTCGTTTGTAAGCGTTGGTGTAAGGTTTTGATGCATCAGGTTGACAGGTGTCTATGTTGTTTAAATAACATTCGAAATCAGCATAAATAACGACAGGAACACGCATAGATCGTTTGTAGTTTTGAATATAAATACAATGACCTCCATCTGTCATCATCTCAGTTGTTACTGGATCCTTTTGATTGCAATACTCCATGTGTTCATCTAAAATGTCTTGTCTTGAAAAATGTTTTAAACATCTTCGACAAAAAAAAACAGTTCATGACCATGTGTGGTTACCTGAGCACGTAAAAGACGTGACAAACTTTTAATACAACAGTAATGTTGTTTAGTAGCGTTCGTTAAAAACAATAGGTCTACATGTGTTGTGCCAGTATTGTTTGAAATTCTTAAAGGGCACACTTGTAATTTTCTTCATCATTCTCATCTATTTCTTCACCGTCATAACAAAACACATTAATGTTAAGGTCTGTATTTCGTCTTTCAAATTTGTTAATGGATTTTAATGACACTGGAAAGTCAATACCATTAAAGTTCATGTCGTTTTCAAATTTCATGTATTGACTTAATCGATAAGCATGATTCTTCATCATGATGTAATGCTGCTAGCACCGCCCACTGAAAACACTTGTCGTCCTTGTTTTGTACATTAATAATGGCTTTCATTTTAGCTAGTTTAACTGGAAGAGGTATGTTTGAATTCTCCTTAAGTGGTATAATTTCTAATTCCTCAATGTGACTAAATGTCCAACCACTACCTTCACGCATGTATCTTACATGCTTGTATCACCATGCTTTCTTTTACCTTTTCCATCATATATGCAATGTCTAAATCAAGGTCTGTTGTTTTTGTAATAGTCACTACTGTTGATCTACAATAAGTAGTCACATAAGTGCTGTCATCTGTGGCTGGGTTAGTTTTTACTAATTCTACTTGAAGTACTAGTTGCACTTTTAAAGCCTTATCTTTTATAAGTGACTCTGTAATTGCTTTGCTTATTTTACCTTTACTTGCCTAAAAAAACATATCTACATCAAAAGGTTTTAAAGGTTCAATCATAACTGTGCGAAACGTATCTTTTAATGCTTTTTTTTCTATCATATACTTTAACGTCGTCTTCCACTGGTCTTACCAATAAAAGTAAATCGTTTTTTCTTAACTTTGAATACTTAGTTTTACCCTGATCTTTTGCAAGTGTTTTAGTTCCTTTTTAGTAAATACTTCTTCACGTATAAACTTATGGTTGTTTTTTTCTTCAATGAATTTAATTAACATGTCTTTGGATTTCCTACTATACCCCTTTAACCCTTTATCCTTAGCCAACTGTCGAAGTTGTTTTACAGTCATGTTCACATGCAACTTTCTATTAGGTGCATCTGTTTTTACAAATCTAGCACCACCACTTTCACTTGGTATATGTGTTGTAGATGTTAATCCAGATGGACGAGGCATGTTGTCATGAGTTGTATTCATTTCTTTATTTATTACTACTAACCCATCTCTTTAAGGTTTTTATTTTCAATTTTCAAATGTTACCAATATTTTTTAATCTAGTGTTTGCTATGTGTAGTTTTTATATGTGTTAGCGAAAAATACCAAAAAGATAATAAGACTTAAACTCACACGCATCACTATTATTGTCTATACCTAAGTCGCATGATAATGTAGCCACATTAGATTGATTTTTGCCAAATCCTATTTGTTTAAATATACTTCTTATGTAAGCACCTTTTAAAGGCGCCTTTTCTTTGTTTAACGTATTACATGCCCACACCCATGTTATATCACCCCTCCTTGTTATATGATATAAAGTCAATATAGTCTTACCATCTACTTTGTTTACTTCAACTATGTAATACCGCACCTTAGTTGGAAGGTCTTTTTAAAACTTTATTTTGTTCCTTAACTTCATTTTGTTCTTGTACTTTCTCTTCCAAAGCACTAATACTCATAAAGTCATTGTTAAAAGAAGCCATCATAATATAATACTATAAACCTCATCCTTTTAAAAAAAACTCATTTTTTTAAATAAAGTACCAATATTTTTTAATCTAGTGTTTGCTAGATTAAAATGAATTGGCATTCACTTAGGAGGTGAGACTGTTCTCTAGGTAACTAAATCTCATTGACATTCTAACCAAATCGTAGGAAAAATACTCTTGTTTAGATTTCTTAATGATCTTAAACCCTGTACTTCTTACATAGGCCCCTTCCAAAATATCCTTCTCTCTGTTTAACCCACTACATGCTCACACCCTCTTACTATCTACTTCTCTTGTTTTTACACTCAAAATACGACTCTTACCAAATTTACCATCTACTTCTGTTACTTCAATAATTTTATACCATACACCCGTTGGAAGGTCCTTCCATTTCAATGTTTCTTCAATTTATTCTTGTACCTTCTCATCTAAAGCACTAATACTCATAAAGTCATTGTCAAAAGAAGCTATCATAATATAATACTCTAGTACTCAAGTCTTTATAGTTTAAAATTCAACTCTTACTCCTATTTGAAATTTTTACACCATTTTTCAAAATGTTAAAAATGTTAGAGGTGGTGTAGAATCGGCCTTATCCATCTACTTCCATACACTTACACACAAGTTATTGTCCGGAAACTACAAAAATGCTTGTTGTTGGCCCCATTTTGGCCCCTAATTCCTAAACTGTTGGTACCAGAACCCCCAAAATCAATCCCAATCTTCCTTTTGTGGTATTGAACCTTCTGGTAAAATTTCATAGAGATCCCATTACTTAAACTAAAGTTATTGTCCGGAAACCTAATGTGTCTTCGGACGACGACGACGACGCTGACGACGACGCCGACGCCGCCGCCGACGACTACGACATGATAGCATTATACGAACGCAAATTTTTTGCGGTCTTATAAAAATGGATTTACGAAAACATCATTCTTGGTCAATCACGCAGACTTAGCTCTTAGTCCCAAGTCAGAAGGGAAGCATCAAGTTTATTCCAGTTTATCTGAACAAAGACTAACCTGTTATCTTCACCATAAGAGTCTGAATTTAGCTAGGACTTTCACCAAAACAACACGGAAGACATTTCATGGTAGATAGAGTGTTGATTGATTTGCAAAGATTATCTGAAGCCTACCACTCAAGTTTCTAGACAGTTAGCTACAGAATAAAGTCAGAATGGTAACAAAACAGTTCTGCTTTTTGCAACCATATGAAAACGCTTTTCTTGTTGCAACATTCTATTTTTTCGAAGTTTTAGTTATAGGAATAAAATACCAAAAAAAAAAAGAAAGAGCGTACAAGACGGTCATTGAAAAAAAAAACGTTTTCTTGGAAAAGGCCATAATTTTTCCTTGCCATAGTTTATCTACGTCAAACGTTTTAAATGTATGATCGGTTTATATAAATATGATGTCTTCTTTACATAATCAAGTTTTTACTATGAAAGAGAGGCGAAAGACTGAGCAACTCGAACCCCACTAAAAACCGGGGGTGATCGCAGGTGCTCCAGAAGGGTACATGTGGCACCCGTGGTGTTGCTCATCTAAGAACAAGCCCGGTGATAAGTCTTATTCGGTAGCACACATTCGAGGAAAAGAGGACGGGATTTACAAATCATTCTTTTAATCATTCGTACTTAAAAACACAAACATTAAGTTGTACATATACAGTTTCTGAACTGATAAGTGAGTAAAGAAACGTTCTTATAAGGCTTTAATATCTTATTGTGAGACAATTGTTTTAATCATTGATGTTCAGCCTCACCAATTAAGACTGTGATAAGCTCAAAACTTATAAAATGTCAAACATATCCAGGAAATGCATTCACGAAGACTTCCTTAACAAGTTGAAACCAACTATCTTATTTCAGACTTCAGGCGTTTTTAAAAGAACATGGGTTAAAAGTGATAAAAAAACTCAATCGCCATTGTTTCAGAAAGTGGTTGCTAACCTGATAAAAAGTCTTAAAATTTTGTCATGAAAACTACGAATAAACATATATACATATGGACAACTCTCATAAGCATCCATATGTTATCAGAATTTACACAATTGATCAATTAACAATACAGTGTTAACATTTTTGATATATAATTATATATGTATATATATATTTATAAATATGTGTGTTCAAAATATATGAATAATTCATAATAGGTAAGAGTCTTAAGTTTTAGTCTTTCATCAGAGGGAACTTTTGAAATACTAAGATTCTAAACAATAGAAATATCAAGTCGGAGCTCAATACTGTCTTCTTCTATCTTTTAAATTGAAATTTCACAACATTGAGGATTTAACCATTTTTATGTCTGTTTTGTTGAGTTAGTCGTTGCTTGATGAATCTTAGCACGATTGTCTGTGCCCTGTGTTGCCAGGATTTTAAAAGACTGAAATCCGTACTGACGAAGTCCCCTTTTAGTCTGTCAAGTAACGTTACACATGCAACTGCTCCTGCAATATAAAACATCATATGCTCATAATCTTCCTTGAAACGTGACACACATTTTAACTACTATTCAACAAAAGCGAATTATTCAATCATGCATCATTAAAAGAAATGCACTTCGTCCTTGATGAAATCAGCTACCATGTGACCATAACATTTCTGGAAAGAATATCTATTTCATTATCTTCTTTCATAATGATTGTACTGAAATGCTATAATCTTCCTCTTTATCCAGTTGTGTTCAGAATTAAATTTCGCTTCCTTCATCCCGATATACCCACTTTACTGAACTAAATTTATTGTTTTCTTGTGTAACCTGTTCAGTCATGAATATACATGAACCATTTGTCACGGGGCGTGTATCAAACAAATATCAATCATGTTATATTGAAAACGACCTTATGACATTGGGTATATGTTTAACATTTCTGAAAGATTCAAAATCAAATAAAAGAAGAGTTGAACTTCTCGTACGATGAAAGGTGTAAGATATTTACCTGGTACTCCTGCATGATTACACATGGCGAGAAATCCAAGAGATTCCATTTCAATATTACAAACGCCGTTTGCTTTCACATTATTCAGAAATTTCATTTTATCTTCTTCGTCATAGTCACAGAAAGCTCCATCTAATCTGGCTTGTCCTGTTTATTAAAATTCAATGCCATAAAATGAATATTTAAACTTGTTAAATATTGCATTTAAAGTCAGTTACGGAGGTCGCATTGAAAATGCCGTGATGACTGAGACCTTTTCGTCAATTGCGGAAGACGTTTCAGTAACTATTAAGTTGAAAGAAATATAATATAAACCCTGTTCCTTTTACTGTTTGATTCTTTTTTTTTAAATTTAGTATGTATGATACTAAATTTAAGAGATTAGTCGGCTAATGCTTGTGCTCCAAATATAGGATTTCCATTAAATACTTTCATTCATTTATTTAAAAATGATTTTTCTTGAATCAATACCTTTCTGAATATTTATCCCCAGAGCATTGTCTTAAAATAATCATCATAGAATATAAGTACCATTGATGTAGAATGCCTCCTTAATACTTTCATAAAGTTTTCTATTTCCTAAGAATACATTTTACTTAATGAAATAAGCATACCTTCATAAAAATCATCAGTGCACATTGTTGTACCGGTGACAGTTTTGAAGTCGTCTGTATTTTCTGAACAGCTAAGCAGTTCTTCTAGAAGAGGTTTCTCAACATATGCAGGTCTTTGCACTTTCTTACCGAGAATAGTCTAAAATATATGATGAATAACTAAAACAGCGTTAGAAGTAACATTGGCACAATACGTTTTTACACATAACATACGCAAAATCTGCTTGATCTTACTTGTCTACATATGTATCAACTGAAAAATGTATTTTATATGTGAGAAGAGAGGTCTCTTCCTTAGTCACTGATATTTTTTACATACATATCTTATTTATATAGACGTCGAACTGAGCCAAAAAGGGGAACATCGGCTTAATTAATTTATAAAAGGTAAATCTTAATCATCAAAGACCACAGAAATCTAGGTTATAAATCAAAGTATATGCATTCAAATTTGTAAATTAAAGCTTCTCTTATTTTGGTTTTCAAAACAATTGTACTTCTATCTGATAGATCTTTAATTGACTCCATTTCTGAAAGTGTACAAGTTTCATATATATTTTTTTTCAATATTCATGCAGTACTCTTTACCTTAAGAACTATTCTTGCCATTGGGAACCTTCACATAAATTGATGACGTCATTGTGGTAAAATACTTATTGACAGACCAAATCGGTATTATATCTTAGTTATAGTTAAATTGATTATAAATTACTTGATAAATAAAAGTTTCAGAAGGACAGTAAACAAAAAAAATCCTGTTAAAATTAGTAAAAACTTAAATAACAACATCGATTTAAAACAATCTTGTTCCTGCATGTTATTGAAGAACATATTTTGTTTTTGATCAACGTTCCTGAGAGAACAAGCATCATGTCCTGTCCACAAAAGACGAACGGTCGGTGCCATTTTTGTTCCATGGAAGAAAAAGTGGAAACACAGGTCGCAGCCGAATAAACAACAAAATTTTTGTTAAGAGAGATTTATTGTACTACTATCCTGGAAATACACTTATCTCAGAATTCCGATAAAGCCAAAGAGATGTATCTTTTAAGTCAGAATTTTGCTTATCCGGAAAACTGAAAAGACAATAGTAAATCAATGAAACAAATTACATCTATGTCTATTTCTAAAGTATTCCCGCACCTATGATATTGCAGACCTTCAGGAGTCTGGCTGCATAAGGCGAGATGAGAATGTACCCGGTATGTCACATAGCCAAATTCGACTAATGATAGCCGGCCATTCAAAGTGATAACTATAGTACCAGAAGTAGACATTCCCTCTACCATTCTACGTACACGGATATCTCAGACATGCATGATTCTGGCAGCAAAGCGTGGGTTTGGGGGAGTTGGGTTCCCGGTGTGTTACAAAGCCTTATTCAACTATTTCCGACTGGCTATAGCTAGAGATTCATCCACCTTGGTCATAGTACTGAGGTAGGTATTGTCTTTGCTATGCATCGAACCACATATACCCTGGAACTTCAGAAGTCTGGTTGCATAGGGTGGGATGGTTCAGGGATGGTGGAGAGGAACTAAGATATTCTCCAAATGAGGAAGAGGGTTTTTCATTGCCTCTTTTATGCACAGTTCCATAATACCATAGAACTTCACAAGTCTAGCTGCATATGCTAGGATGGGGTGATGTTGGGACCAAACTAATAGATTTCCCCTGATCCATAGTACCAGAGGTTATGTTAGATACTGTCTCTATTTAGCACCGTATCATAGATATCCAAAGCTTTCACGCTAATAACAGCATTGGTTGGAAAGGGGTATCCGGTATGTCATATATTCATGATCAACTATTGTTGGCTGGCAATACTAAGAGATTTTAAATCTGTGCCATAGTACTAGAGGTTAAGGTAGGCACTGCCTCTACTATGCACCGTACCTAAAATACCTCAGACATTTTCCTACTTGACTTTTGACGGCTGGCCACACAAAGAAGTTCTCCGCCTTGGTCATAGTACCATCCGGTAATAGTTACGTTGAATAATGAGATATACTTGGTACCCCTTACCCATCCTATGCAGCCGGACTCGTGACAGATAAGAGTATATGTGGAACGATTCAAATTAGATGCCATGTCAACCTCTCCTTTTGGTATCATTGTACCATGGTCAACGTGGAAAATCTCTTATTACGGCTAGCCAGCAATAGCCAAGTTGTATATTGTGACATATCTACCTATACGTCATACTGGTTACCCCCTCTGTGCTGCCAGAGTCGTGATCGTCTATAGTATCAATGGTACGATGCATAATAGAGGCCATGCAAACATCTGCCTTTGATATCATGGTAGACAATGATAATGTCTTAGTATGGCCAGCGGGCAATAGTTAAGTTGGAATATGTGACTTTACGGGAACACAAAACTCCATCCTTTACAGCCATACTCATGAAGTCTAAGGTACATCTTTGGTACGTTGAATAGTAGAGGCCACGTTAATTTCTACCTTTGGTACAACTGTTAATGTGGATAATCTCTAAGTATGGCCAAACCACTTCTGTGGTCTGTAGTGGTAACAAGTGCGGAAGGTTGTGATCTCAAACCCCGCCCGGGTCAAACCAAATACTTGTACTTGAAAACCGATATTTGACAAGAGTATATAGGTGACCTTATTTTACATCATTAAAACGGAAATTTATGTATCAATAACATACAATTCTTAAGAAAAATCTATGGATTTGAAATTGGAGATAAGATGATTTTACTTTGGCTTCACTTTATGCTCATCTGGCCCACAGGTCCAAGTGAGCTTTTCTCATCACTTGGCGTCCGTCGTCGTCGTCCGTTAACTTTTACAAAAATGTTCTCCTCTGAAACTACCGGGCCCAATTTAACCAAACTTGGCCACAATCATCATCGGGGTACTAGTATCTAGTTTTAAAAATGTGTTCGATGACCCCGCCTGCAAACCAAGATGGCCAACATGGCTAAAAATAGAACATAGGGGTAAAATGCAAGTTGTGTCTATTATTTTGAAAACCGTTATAAATAAAGAAAATCTGACAGAGGCAGAAATGTTCATAATGTTGAGCTCTACCAATTGTCCATAATGTCTAAACTGTCAGGGAACTTCTCATAGGAGTTATTGCCCTTGAATTGCAAATTTTACCATTTTTTCTATGTTTCCCTATTATCTTGAAAACTATAATAGATACAGAGAAACTTTAAATTGCATAAATGATCAGCAAGAAAAGATCTACAAATGAGTTTACCATGGTCGAAATCGTCAGTCTACTATTATAAAATTTATTATCCTTTGATGACGATTTTTACCAGTTAAAACTTAAATAAGCAAAAACGACCAGCAAGACAAGATCTACAATTAAGACAATATGGAGGAAATCGTCCAACAACTCCTTATTGGAGTTATTGCCCTTTAATGACGATTTTTGACATTTTTTTGCGTTTTGCCTTATATGATAAAATTATAATAGATAAATAGAACCTTTAAATAACAAAAATTATCACAAGGCAAGATCTACAAGCAAGTCAAATTTGGCCGATATAGTTAGTAGACTGTCACTCTTTATAGGAATGATTGCCTTTAAATGAGGATTTTTTTACCCTCTCTTGTGTTTTGAGCAAAAACTAAAGAAGATAGAGAGAAACTTAACAGATCAAACAATCAGCAATACAAAATCAACAAAAAAAGAAATGTTTGTCATGAATTCTATTCTAGTCTACAATGTTGGAGAGTGTCCTTTGTTGAATATGCACATCGACCTAGGTGAGCGACACAGGCTCTACTTTTTTTTTGCTGCTCGTACATAAATGCTAAATAAGTTTTACGTTTTAATATAAAGAAATTGTTAAAATCAAAAATTCTCTGCTCTATAGAATTGTTCTCATAATTAGAATCACCCCATCATCATAGTAAATGCACCGTATGAAATGCTGATATAAGAGGTGTCAATTTGTAAAATAAAAGTTCTAAAACTGTTACGCTGTCAAACTTAAGAAACAAATAAAAACTACAAAAGAGGGACGAAAGATACCAGAGGGACAGTCAAACTCACAGATCGAAAACAAACTGACAACGCCATGGCCAAAAATAAAAAGACAAACAGACAAATAATAGTACAGATGACACAACATAGAAAACTAAAGACTAAGCAACACGAACCCCACCAAAAACTGGGGGTGATCTCAGGTGCTCCGGAAGGGTAAGCAGATCCTGCTCCACATGTGGCACCCGTCGTGATGCTTATGTTATTACAAATCCGGTAAATAGTCTAATTCGGTAGGTCACATTCGTGAAAAGGGAAGGGTATTGTAGTTACGACATAAGGAACATATCCGATATCATCTGTGAAACGGTTATTCCATAACGGTCAACCAACTCGTGATGGCGTCCGTAAAATTTACGAAGGGATGATTTCAACTTCACCATTTGGAACTCTTGGTTTAATAGCTTCCTTGTGAGCAGCAATCCTCTATCAAGGAAATCATGATAGGAAATATAAGCCCGGGAATATCGTATCAATTGGGAGATATATACTCCGTATGCAGGCGCTGCTGGAATGTTGCTACATAGAAATGGAAAGTTCACAATTGGGAAGCTGAAATCATCTCTTTTGTCGTAAAGTTTTGTTTTCAACCGACCCTCATTGTCAATTTCTAGATGTAAGTCAAGATATGAGGCAGACTTAACTGTATCTGTAGTATCCTTTATCTCTAGTTCGATGGGATAGATTCGTTCAACATAGTCACCAAATTTTGTATTATTTAGTGAGAGAACATCATCTATATAGCGGAACGTAAAGTTAAAGGATATTGCTAACTTCTTATCTTTCTTTCTAAGAAGTTCCTGTATGATGGCATCCTCATAATAATAAAGAAACAAGTCGGCAAGAAGAGGGGCACAATTGGTTCCCATTGGAATTCCGACAGTCTGTTGAAAAACACGTCCTCTAAACGTAATAAATATGTTGTCAATCAAGAAATCAAGCATCTTGATAATGTCAGTTTCAGAGAATTTTTTGTTTGAATCAGAGTGATTCTTTACAAAGTAGGATTTATCCCTCCCCAAGACAAGATACTTGTATCTACGTTCGCCATTCTTTTTAATGAAACAAAGTAATACCAACTCTTTCAATTTGTCTTTAAGTTTGGAATGGGGAATAC